CTATGTGTATTTTCTTTGTCATTAACTTTTTTCGGACCACTTATTTATTTATTTTGGTGACGATCATGCTGCTACTCTGGTTCAAACTGCATCCACCAAACAATATGATTTATCTCCACCTTCACATAAGAACCAAAATCTGACACGGTGTGAAATGTCTTTTTTAGCTGTTCTGTCGTCATTTCCTGCGATCTTCTTCATGCAGTCAGTCAAAATGAATATTAATACGGGGCGTTTCTTTGACTATTTATAGGCAAATATGGGCGTTACGTGAAGCCCGCAAAAGCTGCGCCGCATTTCGAGTTGATTGTGATTTATAAAGGGAAACCGGTACGCAGTGTTTTATAAATCGGAAAATGTCTGTGCGTATTTATTTGCTTTGTCCTACGTAAGCAACCTTCCCACGTGAATCCTACGCAAGGTTTTATAAATGAGGCCCCAGGTGTTTTCATCCGGCGGACTACTGTTTGGGTTTTGTTTTGTTGACTTAAAAGTGGTTAAGGGGTGTTCTATTCAAACGTAAAATATAAAAAGAGTAAGCATAATACGCCTAGACTTGTCTGTTTGCTTCCTCTTAAATTAAATGGCGGATATTTCAATTCAGTGGAACAATTTGAGGTCAACTTCAGGGAGGAAGTAAACATGAAAAGCCTTTTACCTGTAAGTGGATGAGGAGCAGCGTCCAATGTGGGGTAAAGGCGTCAGCTCAGGCTGGCCTTCAGATCTGGTGTGTGTGATTCACCGCCTGAATTAGGAAACAGCAAGAGACACAAACACGACACCGCATGTCAGAAACAGGGGCAGGAATGTATGCAGAGATACAGTTGAAAATCCTGAGTGTTTCCTTTTGAAATTTCCCCTTTGCCTGATACTTTAATGAATGCATCCATGACACCTGCCTAATAACAACCGATTGTTGCTACACATTTCTAAATAAAGTAGCAGTCGTGACAAAAGCATGATGAATGATTTTCGTATTTTACCAAAATATAAAGTCTACACATATAATGAAGTACATTACAGTATATTATATATACAACCCCCCATCCTTATTCAAACACTTAATCTGGTCATCCCATCACCCATCTTATCATTCATCCTGTTCCACAACGCCTTGGGAGAGCTTAAGCTGATTTTGGTTCAGTCTGCTCTCAAAGATTTAAACAGATTGGGCCCGGGGGGGATACCTTGCAGTGTGTGTGTGTGTGTGTGTGGTGGTCAGTGGCACAAAGTGTCTGAAACTCGAGAGGTCAGATGAACTGTGAGCATGATCTTCACTGAGCCAATTTCACCCCTTCTGTGCCCAACACACACACACACACACACACACACACACACACACCTCTTGTATTAGTCCCACCAGGTATTTAGGATGTAACAGGTATCAAATGATAGCCTACTGCTATGAAGTAATTCTACACGCTCCCTATCTAAACTCCTCTGAAGAGCGTATTAGGAGAACTTCCTTCATGACTGGTGCATTAAGGATTGGTCGAATACTTTACTAACTTGTGTCAATTCATATAATTGATTTATTGCTTAGTAATTTATTTAGTACATCTACATTTCAGCTGCCCAGACGTGAGCATTCTCTGCTTTTCAATTTATTATGTTATTGTAGGTTTATATACTTGGGTGTAATTTATAGTAGATTGTACTGCTTGTCAGATAACATGGACAAAATAATTGGGTTAACAGTGAGCAAAAGTACTTTACAAAGGGATATATGTATTGGAAATAGTACGAGTTATATCCCTTTACCAGAAAATGATAATATAAATACAGATTATAGTGCAACTACTATACAAACCATCCTATTTGTAACTGTTAAGGGTCTTTTCTAAAACTGTTTGACAGTTGACATTGTATCTGTCATTGGCCTAATTGCTCGTCTCATAACTGCAACTATTTTGAAGGACTTTTTAAAAGTTTTCATACTCAGGTTTTATATCCATTGAGTAAAAAACTTGATATTTACCATGTTTTTGTGTATAATCAGTAAAGTAGAAAACACTGGTGTGAGTTAAGGTCTTAAGATGATTCCTGACAGTATTTCAATGTTATCTTTCCTATATCTTAACATTTGTCAGATTTCATACAGTTTAACAGTTAGTTTCAAATAAAACTTAATTTTCTGTTATTTCAATGTGCTTTAGTAGAGGATAATTTGCTTACAAAAAGTGTAACTAAAGCATACTTTACACTGAAAAAAGGCTGCTAAATAAAATGACATACAATTTTTGTATTGGAGGGATTAATTCTAATCTCTCTCTAATATAAAGCACAAACTGGCTCAGTGTATGGCAGGCATATATCTGTATTTGAGACAGATTTGTGGACATTTAAAGCCACTTCACCTTATTTGAAACCAGATGATACTTGACCTGACTGCAACCTTCATGCAAAGCCTCATATTCACGGCGGGGGCTAATCCCTGTCTGCCTTCAGAGCCCTATTGGAGGCTAATTTATTATTAATAAGCTAATAATCTTTATTCAAGCTCTGGTTCACTGTCATAAATTAATTTCCTCTAAGCTATGATGTGCAAATTAAGTGTAACATGTTTGTATTGTAGTTGACAGATGCTTATAGCAGACCCCTAACCTGATTAATAAGAAAAATTATCCTAAGACTGATTAATGAGCCAGTGAGATCAGAAGGATTGAGGCATGCGTCGATGTCTCGGGGGCATTTTCATTACATCTTGGCCTGGCAAGAGGTCACTGAGGATAACCTAGGTGCAACCATGTCTGTTTTGATTACATGGGTATTAGCTAGTCGGGGATCGCTACAGCTTTGTGTCCCGGCGTGTCCTCTCTGTTAATTGAGGCATATAATCAGTGGCGGCCGGTCCATAGGGGCGCTAGGGGCGCCGCCCCACCTCTTCCCATATTAAAAAATAAAAATAAAAATAAAAATAAAAATAAAAAATATATTTAAAAAAATATATATTTTTTTTTTTTTTTTTTTAATGAACAAGGTAAATATTATATAATTGGTATCAGTAAAATGTATAATCTACAATAAAATCTCGTTTAAAATGGTGTTACGATGTCTAAAGTTACTGATAAGTCACATGTTTCCTGCCTGGCCTTGCCCGTGTACCTTCTCTCGTCTGGGCGCTAAGAAAGGAGCCCTCAACCAGTGCAGCAGCAGCCACTAGCAGCTGACTGTTGCTATCTGTAACATGTAAACTATGCCGCGAAAACATAATTTCAGCCAATCAGCATCGTCAAATATGATGGTCACAGGGCTCCTACGTGAGCGCCCGGTGCAGTCTGTGAGTTGTTTGGACTCGTATCCAAGGAGACAAAACAGGAAGCTGTCATACACTCTGGAAGCTACAGCTAATGAAAACTCCGTTTTTGACATAAAAATTGAATTATGGATCATCAATCATTTTTTCAAAGTGACAGACACATTGGATTAACCTATGGATTAACGTTCAGCTGCGTTTTTCTCGTTTTTGATCAGAATTGTTATTCTGCAAAAGGTGAGCATATCTCCGTGTTTTGCTACCTAAAGCTACGTCGTGTGATGTCTGTATTTGCTTCCCCTGTCGCGAGTTCTGATCGCTCAGTGATGATACTTATATTTCTAGAATATGTGGAATCTCAGTTTGTAAGCTTGTTTGTGCATATCCGATAAGTATATCGATTGATTTATACCTAGAGTGCGTTAGCATTTTTTCGCTCAGGGCTCATTTAGACGCTTCTTGTGAGACTTGTGTTTTGTTTCGGTAAACATGGTTCATATCATCAGTTAGATGCGTTTCCTCTGAGTAGGACACATGAATAGTTTATTGCATTTTAAGAAGCCCTGAGACACAGTTTCGTGAGAAAAAAAACGGGGGAAAAAAGCCCCTTAACAGGTTAAATGGGAATTAAATCAGTGTTCCCAAAGCCCCGGTGTTCTGCAGTTTGTGTGGGCCTACTGTACTGTTGCACAGGTTATGCTGTAGAAACTATGTCCAGGACAAGGTGTTTGGAAGTTTCATAGCTAACCACACTGAAGTTATGGAGGTATTGATCAGTCTTCTCATATTTTTAAGCCTCAAATTGTCCCCCTCCCCCCCTCTAACATCACCAGAAGTCATGATTTAAGGGGTCTTTTCTCAAAAAAAATTAGCGGGGGAGCATCCCCCCGGACCCCTCTAGTATTGTTTGATCACCATTTCCACAGCCCTACCTAAAATATTTTCCACCAGCCGCCACTGCATATAATACAAATTTTCATGGCCATGGGCACTGCAATTTAATAATTTATGCTGGTAAAAGTGTGCCAAAGGCTGGTAGATGTGCATCATCAGCACAAAAACAATGGTACTCTATTGAGTAGCTGGTGGTAAAAAATAATAATTAAAAAAATGGAATTTTGCACCCTGGATTCGCTCATTTGTAATATATAAATTAACACTTTTTTGGCATATTATTGACATTTTCTTGTGTTTTGCCTGCTGTCAAAAGCCTCTCACTCCACATTATTTCTCCCCTCATCATCACCTCCTGAGGCCAGCCTCCATCCGTCCTATCAAATAACCTATCCTTGCTTGTTTGCTCACTGCAGTCATCCTGGCAGTCAATGTATCCTCAGGCTAAGCCAAACAAGCTGATCAGCCAGTCACCTCTGTACACACTACCCCCCACTAAGAGGCTAATGGCCGGGATGTATAATCCTTCTCAAAACAACTACAGAGATGCTAATTGTATCTAGCTATAAATACAGGTTGACTCCTCGTCCTCATTCTTTATTTGGCTCTACTCTGGAAACCTGGAGGCGCCAACACCACTATTGCGCACCGGCTTCTCTGAGACATTTGCCCAAATGCCAGGAGAGACTCGGTTGCATAAGAGAGGCTGCAGATAGAAGCTGCAAGTGTCAATACTTGCCATCATCTCAGGAAAGGAGGCAGAGAGCGCACGGAGCTTTACGCGCGGTTGGATACGTTTTGGAACATTTCACAGCTTCTTCGGTAAACTACTGAGAGACAGCAAACCGAGATGTTCCCACTTCCGATGTTCACCCCGGACCAGGTCGCCCGGGTGTGCGAGAACTTGGAGGAGACCGGGGACATCGAGCGCCTCGGCCGGTTCCTCTGGTCCCTGCCGGCCGCCGTCCCTGGCTCCGCCGGGGAGGCGCTGAACCGACACGAGTCCGTGATGCGAGCCAGAGCGCTGGTCGCTTTCCACGGGGGAAACTTCGAGGGTCTGTACCAGATCCTGCAGAGCCACCGCTTTACTCGCGAGTCGCACGCCAAGCTGCAGGACTTGTGGCTGGACGCGCACTACCGGGAGGCGGAGAGGCTCCGGGGTCGGCCGCTGGGCCCGGTGGAGAAGTACCGGATCCGCAAGAAGTTCCCCCTGCCCCGCACCATCTGGGACGGCGAGCAGAAGACGCATTGCTTTAAGGTAAACACCACCACGCGATATTACAATTGAACTCACATGTGCACAGGTGTGACCCACGCTTTCCCTCGTCTGTGGGGCTAAAATGTAATATATCAGGTTCTGGTCGGGACCTCGGTATCACACAATATAACATGCTTTTATATGATATGGACCTGCTACTTGACCGTCAGTTGCTCTCTCTTAAAAGTTGTACGGTACCCCATGTAACCTCACACAGCTTGCCCTTTGAGCTTTTAAGATGATCATGGTAAGAGCTGCGGTTAACCTCAGCCTTCGGCCGTAATACTTTAGACATGGTTACTTGTGCTTGATCAGAGATCTGGTTAGACAATGTTTATGACAAGAACATACTGTTAAAACAAATTAACTATAGTTCCTAAATACTCCACAACTAGTGTTTGATGTGTTTTCACCTGTGCATCATTTCCACTTCTGTTATCAGCTTTTCTCTTTTCTGTAACTTTGACTGTTCAGCTTCAAACTCCCATCCCCCCAGGGTTCAACTTTATTTCATCTGAATTATTAACGACACCTTTCAAATATGAACACAACTTTTATTGACATTGAGCACAGACCTAAGGGAGTCTAAATGATCCATCTTGGCATCCAAGAGCCAATATAAAGAAAAGTATTCCATGTGTGAAGAGCAATTCATCACATGCATACTGCTGGTACTTTTTAACACCTTGTTTATACAAATTTAAAATATATTTTCTTTTACCTAAAAGTTTTATGAGACAAATGACAGGATTCAGAAGCATGCACCTTGCCTCTTGGGTGTGTGTGATCTCCCTCATGTGGCAGGGTGAAGTATTGTTTCCTAAATATAGTTCATCTTCAGTTCACAACCTCGGGAGGGATAGTCTCTTTTACTGCCAATTAAGCCCCTTAACATGATCCAATAGAGTCGCTATGAATTTATACTTATCCTCTATTGTAGATTTTAATCATTGATTGTATTTAATAATCCAGTCTAATACTATTACAGTGAGCATCATGAGAGTGAGGAGATTATTGTGGCTTATTGGGATGATATCAAAACACCATATGGTGTCTTTGCAAGGTGCAATTCCACACTAATAAAGTGTACTTTGAATCGTCTACGACAGCATAAATATTGATTGTATTTCTGTGTGTTTTGCAGGAAAGAACCCGCAGTTTGTTGAGAGAGTGGTACCTCCAAGACCCCTACCCAAACCCATCCAGGAAGCGTCACCTGGCCCAGGCCACAGGGCTCACCCCCACACAGGTCGGCAACTGGTTCAAGAACCGCCGGCAGAGAGACCGAGCAGCGTCCGCAAAGAACAGGTATGTTAAGAACTACAAGCGATAACAATAGTTGTGAATATAAAGGAGAAAAAACAAAATTGGGCTCAGAGCTACTTCAAGTTTGCAGTAGACTTTGAAAAAGCCAGTCTGTAAAAAGGCACAATGCATATGACAACAAAGCTCTTTGAACTTTGCCACATTTACTATACAAAAAACTCCAATCTGGGACCCAAATCTCATCTCTCTCTTCTTTCCCTTCACCCAGAATGCAACAGGATCACTCACACCTGCCCTCAGGTAGCTCACCCAACGGCTCCCTCCAGGACCGCCGCCATCACTCCCACTTGTTGCCTCCCTCTCCTCGACACCTGGGCAGCCCGGAGGCCAGCGACTGCAGCACGGAGAACGAGCGCAGAGGAACGGGAGCCTCCACACCGGAGATCTCCGTCAGCAGCGACAGCGAGTTCGAGTCTTGAGATGACGGACGATTTTTGTGATAGACAGACTCTTGTTCTCTGCAATCATCAGACTCTACAGACATTTGAAACACTGGAGGTGTTCTCAGTGAGAGTGGACATTGTAAAGGAAAAACAACATGCACTTAAAAGAAGCACCATGGCACACAACCTCGACTGTTATATGAAGTAGTTTACTGCCGACCATGGTCTTTAGATCATTTGATATTTCAAGTTTTTATACGGGTTTCATTGAATATTTTTGGAGAAATAATTTTCTATAAGTCATTATCTAAGCTATAAAATAATTTGTATGGAATCTAAGACACGATGAAAAATGCCTTGAGTAGGCTGTTAATGTTACTATATTTACATGCACAATAATAACCTGATCAACTTCAGATTTTGGTGTCTTGTTTCAAACATTTAACATACATCCATTATCAGAAAAACCTTAATTTAGGTTCAATCATTCAATATTTTTGATAAGAAATTGGCATTTAGGTTAAAAAATACATTTTTTTTCTGGCACAATTCATATTATTAACTTTTAAATTGCATCCTAATTCCCATTAGATGTTAGAGTGATCATGTTACAATGTGCATGTAAACATAGTGACTGACCAATTAATCACATTTTACTGCCTTAAAAAGGATCTAAGGGCATCTCTCTTTTACAATGCAAAGACAAATAATCAGATGAGTTTAGGTAGACTTTATATATGTACCTTAGAAGGAAATATGCTGCTTAAAACCAGCTGTGTTTTACCTGTTCTCTTGTCTTTTGGTGACTGGTTGAACTGGTTGCTTTTTGTAAACGCTCCTGAGCTGCTCTGATGAATTCCCACAGGAGCTGAAACAGAAAAGATGAGTCAGCGAAAAATGTAAAGCGTTAATCGGTCTTAACTCAATGTGCCTATAACATTTGAGAACAGTGAGACCAAGTCGGATATGTTTGTGTCCTAATGTCAGAACGACACTCTCAGAGGCCTACTGTGTGCTGTCTTTCTCACAACCATGATTTCTCATAACACATTATTTCAATGAAAATATGTATTTTGTAAATGTTTTATGTAAATAAATGAGCCTATTTTTATCCAAAGTTACAGTATACTGACTCACTGTATTTATTAGTTCAGTAATGTAGTAAAGCAAGTGAAGTAAATGTAGTAATATGTTTTCTTTACTTTAACCAAGGCAGATGGACATACGTGTTTCTAAACAGGTTCAGAAACACAAACATGAATTTATCAAAAAATCTGATTTTTTTAATTAAAAACCTGAGCAGATGAAGCAGAAATGTTTAATATCTTATTTGGACAGGCTAGCTTTGCAAATGTCACAAACATAAAGTTCAAATAGGTGTTGTTTTTTGTTAAACACATTTCTGCCCTTGCAAAAAATACCCACAAATATTGTTCTGGATAAATAGTCCATTGGAATTAAAGAGCAACAACAAGGAAACACAATAGGTATTTTAACAAAAGTTCAAATTGGGAAACCCTCCTTTTTCACATAGGCTTCATATATTCCTTCAAGGTAGCCACTAATTAAAACAGTAGGCTATACATGTTACCATGTACTACTCCATTATACTAACAAAAGCAGAAAGACAAAAACAAGGCAATATTCCTACTCACCATAGTTCCCACATAAGAGTTTCACAAACTTTTATCACATTATATGTTGAATAGAAAAAGCACAGGTGTATTAACAACATTAATTAGGACTTAATTATATTAACTAATGCAATGCAATGCAGCAATTAATTATGCAATTAGTTTCACCTGTGTTGGCAAGTAAAACGGTGAAAGTCACTCCATGTTAGCCCCTGTTGTGTGCAAAACAAGCTAAAACTGAAGAATTTACATATAACTTAAGCAATGTTGTATTCATTTTATAGCAACCTTACAGGTGGAAGTCCAATATTAACACACCTCTAAGCTGTTTTTTTGTCTCCTGAGGAAAATATCTGCCTCTTTAGCTGCCTAATGCTAGCATATTATAGCTGCTAGCTAGATTTGTCAGTTGATGACTTTAGCACTAGTTTATTTCTTATTTAAACATGTTTTTCACATTTTAAACGTTTGCCCTGATAGTAGGCTAAGCATAACCTTAAAGTCACTTGAATGTTTTATGATGACATACAAGCCAAACTTTAGGGGTAAAAAAACACTTACCAATGTTTTGAGGACATTTCCAGGCCCCCAAAATATTAAGAGAAGAAAGATGGCGGACAAACGGTTTAATTCTTTTCCGTTTTGTACTCTAACGAGAGTTAGCAAACAAGGGGCCAGTTAGTATGCATTTTACCCAATAGCAATGTCTCTTAAAGGTGTCATGTGCAACCTGGAAAGCAATTAAAAACAAAATTGATTGTGAGAGATTTAATACAATAAGGGAAATCTGAATTGAAATAAAAATATCAAATTTTGTCTGCACATTTAATGCATAGCCCTTTTAAGTCTCATGGTATATAAGGTAAGGTAATATAAGTATTTTAAATCTGTTCGGATAGGCAGCAACGTTGGTACATCTCAGATTGATTTATCAAAAGTTTCACCTTTTTATTAATGCATAACTTTACCAAGATTTACAAAGGTTATTCATCATGATTTTGTTTTTTGAAATGTTGTATTTTTTGTTATGTCTTATCTTTATTACATTTGTTTGATTGAGCAAATCAAATCTGCAGAGTTGACATTGAAAAGTGTAAGGAAATGTCAACTTTAAAAATAATTTGTAAATGACTTGCTCAAAAAAACACTACCTGTTTCTCTATAAAAAAGGGGAAGTGTAGGTCCACCCCCGCAGCAAATGGGGCGTCCTCAAATGTAGTAATCCCGCCCATATATACTGGAAGTTGCAGCAAATACTTCTGCTTACCTGTCACTTGCCGTCTCTTCTAAATTCATGCGTAATAATCTTGAATTTGTCATTTGTTAGTTAGACCCCTGTCCTGACAGGAGGGAGCTACATTTGGATAAGCATGGACAGCCAGGGGAGAAAAGTGGTGGTCTGTGACAATGGGACAGGGGTAAGTCAAATATATTGTGTCACACACTACCTCAACATTTTCTTAACACTGCTTACTTCTCTTTCTTCTCTTTCAGTATACTTTACACTTGTTTTCAAAGTGTTATCAGAAATCTGTGACATTGTTTTTCATGCAAACCCACACCAGCTGTGTTTTATTGTAAAGTGGCTGCTCTAAAAAACGTTTAAAAGTTTGCTTCTGGATCATATGTAAAGGTTGACATCTGAAGGGTGTGAATCTGTGTGCAGCTTGATTCCTCACGTGTCTGAACTTGTCACTCTGCCTCTAATGTGCACACACAGCCATACATGGTTGTGATGTTTTTAACTGAGCTATGATTGGATGAAAATCAGGAAGTGAGACTTCAGCTATCACAACATCCTGAGTGGTTCTTCAATACTGATGGTGGCATGTTAATTTCAACATATATTAAGACAAACGTGTGTTATCTTTACCTGAAAATGGCCGTATCCTAGTTTTTCGCCTCTGCTTGGAATGCATTGTATCCCTCCAGGCTAAGGAATGTGTCTATGGCCACAAAGACAAGTTGAGACACTACAGTATGAGGTGAAGTCATGACAGGCAGAGAAACAGCAGGTCATTTAAAAGCAATGTAGCAACACGTATTGCTCTATGCTTGCCAAATGAATTACTACACATTTTAACACACTTGCATTGACTGATGAATAATCCAGTGAATGCATTGTGATAATAAACACTAGGACAGTTTCCTGCATGCAAAATAGGCCTAGTGATGGATTACACTGAATGTATCTATGAATAGTTATTATCCATTTCAGAAGGCTTTAATGCAGGAGTAAGATGATTAGTTTTCTCCTATTGTATTTGCACAAGCATAGATATAATTGTCATGAGAAGAACAAAACAAACCTAGCATTATTTTCGAAAAATAAAAGATATAAGAAGCACACAGAATGAGCAGAAAACACGTCAGTTAGACAGAAATTCTTTCAATAACTGAAAAACAATACAGATTAAACCTCTTCTGAGGATAACAAGCTCTTGATAACGTTCACAAAACAAGAACTTAATAGACACAAAAAACATCATGTTTCATTCTCACATCCCTTCGCAGTTTGTCAAGTGTGGCTTTGCTGGATCCAACTTCCCCGAACACATCTTCCCCGCCATGGTGGGTCGACCAATGTTACGATCAAACACCAAAGTGGGCAACATTGAGATAAAGGTGAGTCATTTTTTGGATTATTTCAAATTTTATTCAGAAAAGCGATACATAACAGGTGAGCCCAGGGACTACAAATCAGCCCGGGACTCTCGACCGGCCCACTTCGGTACAGCCGGACCACCTCGGTACCGCAAGTAATTACCGCTAGTAAATTATCAACGGGGGTACACCCGATGGCCAGTCCGCCCCTGGGTGAGCCTAGACAAGGCAACACTTTGTATATAAGGTGATATGTCAGGTGTATGCGAGTGAAAAGGTGCCAGATTGAGAGTGTTTTTTAAGACAGAAAAGAAGGAGACTTTAAAACAAAAATTGGGTTAGAGGAAGTACATTTTCTTTCTGGCTGGGGTGGCAAAAGAATCCCTTCGTCCTACTTTTTTTTATCGACTTCTTTTGCTTTTTGCCCCCCTCTTTTCCATTCTAAAATGTAGCTTTGCTTTGGTTACAATCCTTTGGCAGAATTGTCATCCTGGCTAGGAAACAGAGGAAGAAAAGAAGGGATATATAAATAAGTGTGGTGAGATTATTTTATATTGACTGTTTGTTATTTTATATTGACTGTTTGTTTTTATAGCATGTAACTGGTTTTAACTTGAGATAAACGACAACATGATAATAAAAGGGATACAAACGTTTGTCAGTAACACCTAACAAAAGCTGTTTCTAAATGTGGATTGTATTCTATTTAAAGCTAAGGGAATTCCTGTCTGGTAAGTCTGGACAGTAAGACTTGTTAAGCTAATTAAACAGCTGACCTTCTTCCTCTCCTCCATCTCTTCTTACCTTTCAGCTCATTTGTATCAAAGTGTCTTAGAACGGTACACCTGTTAGCTTCCTTAAGACACAGTTAAGTTCGTATTCTCGTAACCTGAGGTCAGATCATGCAGACCTTTAATCCTCGTAATCCTCACAGCTCTGAACAGAGACGTTTCATAAAGCAGAAGTGAAAAGTTCACTGCACACAAAATGTAAACTGAAGATTTGTGTTCACAATACTTTATAACCCTCTTTGGTTTCATTTTCCCTCCACAGTAAGCATGTATGCTCAATAATATTCAGCAGTAACCAAAATGTGAGCAAATGCTAAGTAAGCTTCTAAGTATTTATATTCTTTGATAAATAACCTGATTTAAATACTATATTTTGATAATGTCTTTGGCTGCTTGTGTAAATAAAATAACTATCCATGCATTACTAAAAACTATCATTGTGAAAAGTATAGCATTGGTATTGTATTGGCACTGAGATTTAATTATTATTCATTTGTTATACGTTAGCTTTATTGTATTTTTTTAATCGAATCACTCAAAGCTGTAGATACTAAAAAATAGTAAAAAAGACCAAAGAATGCAGACTCATTTGGATCCCCTCCATTCTTAAATATAATCGATTCTCTCTTAGCCCAGGCTACACCCTTCCACAAAATTTAGAAAAATTGGGCCAGTAGTTTTCCTGTGAGTCTTATTCTTTTACTCTGCACCTTATAAAGGCGGTCTCCTCGTGTTTCCTTCCCACCAGGACCTGATGGTGGGTGATGAAGCCAGCGAGTGCCGCTCCATGCTGGAGGTCAGCTACCCCATGGAGAACGGTATGGTGCGCTCCTGGGAGGACATGCTCCACCTGTGGGACTACACCTTCGGTTCCACCCGACTGGACATCAACCCGTCAGAGTGCAAGGTACAACACAGAGCCGACCTTTCAAAATAAAGCTCAGTGAGACAAGTATTGGAACAAGGCATGAAGAAAGAAAACAAGTGGTAAAATACTGAAGACATTTTAATGTTTTACACCTGGGGAAAACCCTATCAATAATAGGCTTTTAAACAGCTGTGA